CTTAGGTATGTTTTGTTACATTTCATTTATTCAACTATTGCGTAAAAGTGACTGGTAAAGAAAATTTAATGTTGCTATTCTTGTAATTGAAGTTAAGTTTTTCATTATCCCAATTCACTAACAAATGGGAAGAGAACTACTTTTTTCTTAGCCTCATAGAATGACTCAAATATTGCTCTCTCTCTTTCCTGTTCTATTCCATCTCAAAATACTTAGGGCATATATTTTACTTTTTACCAAAAAGTACTATTTTTGTGGAATTACATACTCCCAAATGAACCTTGAGAAAAAGATTTTATTGTTTTGCCTTTGTAAAAGAGGAACCATGGCTGTAGGATATTACGCACCTTTAAAGAAGGTGCTAAATGTACATTAGCATCTTTCATAGAAATTTCATTCAGAGAGGGAAATAAAGAGAAAACAATCCATTGACAAGAAGGCAAAAAAAAGAGAAGTGAACATAGAAAATCTGAGACAAATATAGAAAATAAGAGGTAGATATCCAAAAATATCAGTAATCACAACAATGCACGAATTCCTCCAATTAAAAGTCAATGATTGTTAAACTGGATGTTAACACACACGTTCTTTTTATGAGATATATCTCAGACATAGGATACATAAAGGGTAGAAGTAGAGGATGGAAATTGAATTCCATGCAGCGTATAACCAAAAGAAAGCTACACCAGCTGTATAAATATCAGACAAAATGGACTTTAAGGCAAAAGCCATTGCTAGAGAGATAAAGATAAAAGAGCCACAACCTAATGATTAAAGGTTCAGTTCAGGAAGAGAAGACAATTCTAAACTTGTATGCACACAATAACATAACATAACCTTAAAGTATATGAAGGAAAAATGAACAGATTACAAAGTTACAAGGAAAAATAAGCCACCTAATAGTGGGAGATTTTAACAGACCTCTCTTGGTATATCATAGTTCAAATAAAACTCCCCCACCCCCCAAATCAGTATATAGAACTTCCAAAGAACATAAGCTTGATGTACTGGACATATTTACAACACTGTACCTAATAGCTGCAGAAACACATTCTTTTCAAGTACCCATAGAAGATTGATGACATATTGAACCAAAAGCAAGCCTCAAAAATGTCTAAGGATTGGTATCACTGTGGATAACCTCCTCTGATCATAGTGAAAATTAATTAGACATTAAAAAGATAACATACAGGGGCCGGCCCGTTGGCGCAAGCGGTTAAGTGCGTGTGCTCCGCTGCAGCAGCCTGAGGTTCGCCGGTTCAGATCCCAGGCGCGCACCGACGCACTGCTTGGCAAGCCATGCTGTGGTGGCATCCCACATCAAGTGGAGGAAGATTGGCATGGATGTTAGCTGAGGGCCAGTCTTCCTCAGCAAAAAGAGGAGGATTGGCATGGATATTAGCTCAGGGCTGATCTTCCTCCAAAAAAAAACAATTCATGAGACAAGGGAGGAATCATAATGGAAATTACAAAGTATTTAGAATCAAATGATAATGAAAATAATGTATATCAAAACTTGTGAGGGACAGCTAAAATAATACTTAGAAATATTAGAAATAATATAGTCTTTAAATGCTTACATTAAAAAGAAGAAAAGCTGAAAGATTAATAGACTAAGCATCCATCTTAAGGAGATACAAAAAGAACAAACTCAAGGAAAAGAATAAAGGTAAGAGCAGAAATTAATGAGACAGGGAATAAACATACATAGAGGGAGCCAATAATGTCACAGAGTGATTCCCAGAGGAGAAAGGGGGAATCTCTGTCCAGTTAATGGGTCTTTAATTTCTCTCGACTATATATTACAGTTTTTTTGTTTTACTGTTTTTTGCTGAGGAATATTCGCCCAGAGCTAACATCTGTGCCAGTCTTCCTCTATTTTTTTGTATGTGGGTCATGGCCACAGCATGCCCACTGACGAGTGGTGTAGGTCCGAGCCCTGGAACCAAACCTGGGCCACCAAAGCAGAACATGCCAAACTTAACCACTAGGCCACAGGGTGGCCCTGTATTACAGTTTTCAGTTTTCAGTGCTCAGGGGAGAGGATAATCATTTCAACAATTGGTGCTGGAACAAAGAGATAGCCATATGGGAAGAAAATGAACTTCGACCTTTGTCTCACGCCATATACAAAAATTAACTTGAAGTGGATCATAGACCTACATGTAAGAACTAAGCTGTGAGTTCTAGAAGAAAACAGGAGAAAATATTAGTGACCATGAGTATAGCAGAGATTCTTAAATATGACCCAGAAAGCACAAAGTATTTTTTAAAAGTCAACAAATTGGACTTCAAAATAAAAAACTTTTTGCTTTTCAAAGACATTGTTTCAAAATGAAAAAAGGAAGTGAGAGGCAATATTTGCAAAACATACATTCGACAAAAGGCTTTTATCTAGAATACATAAAAGAACTCTTACAACTGAATAAGACAGCCCAGGTTAAAAATAGAATGAGCCAGCCCTGATGGTCTGGTGGTTAAAGTTCCATGCTCTCTGCCTGGGCAGCCCGGGTTCATTTCCCGGTCGTGGAACCACACCACCCATCTGTCAGTTGCCATGCTGTGGCGGCTCACATAGAGGAACTGGAAGGACTTACAACTAGGATATACAACCATGCACTGGGGCTTTGGGGAGAAGAAAAAAAAAAAGAGGAAGATTGGCAACAGATGTTAGCTCAGGGCGAATTTTTCCCTGCAAAGAAAAAAAAAAATAGGACGTGATTTGAAGAGACGCTTCACCCAAGAAGTTATAGAGGTGGCATATAAGCCTAAGAAAAGATGCTCAATATCAGTCGTTATTAGGGAAATGTGAGTTAAAACTACAGTGAGATAATACTGCACACCGAGTAGAATGGCTAAAATTAAAAAGACTGGCCATACCAAGCGTTGGTGAGAATGTGGAGCAGCTGGAACTCTCATACACTGTTGGTGGAAATGTAAAATGGTACAACCATTTTAGAAAACAGTTTAGTAGTTTCTGAAAAGTTGATCATAAACTTATCATACGATTCAGCATTCCCCTCTTAGGTATTTACCCAAAAGAAATAAAGTCGTATATCTACACAAAACCTGTACATGAATGTTCATAGCAGCTTTATTTGTAATAGTTCAAAACTAGAAAGAACCCAGCTGTCCATCAGCAGGTAAATGGATAAACATCCATACAGTGGAATTCTACTTGACAATAAAAAGGATCAAAAAAGAGAACACAATAACGTGGATGAATCTCAAAATAACTATGTTCTGTGAAGGAAGCCAGAAAAAAGTACATTTATATAAAATTCTAGAAAATACAATCTAATCTGAATTGATAGAAAAAAGATAGTGAGATAGTGATTACTGGGCGGGGGGAGCACCTCATGCATAAACATCTGTTTTATGTTGAGTAAAGACTTAAACATGAACCATGAAACTTTGAGAAGGCAAACTAGGAGAACATTGTTATGATCTCAGTGTGGAAGGATTTCCTAAGACACAACACAGAAGGAAAAAATTGATAGATTTAGTAATATTAAAATTTTAAACTTACATTTCCCAAAAAAAAAAAACAAAAACCCAAAACCACCACAGTGAGAAGAACTGGGAAAAAATATTTATGGCACATATAATTGACAAAGAATTAGTATCTCTATAGGACTCCCATGACTCAATAAAATAAACATAACCCAATAGAAGAATGAACAAAAGATATGAACAGGCATATCACATTAGAAGGAACCCCAAATGGCCAATAAATGTGAAAAGAGGCTCAACCTCACGGTTATTCAGAGAAATGTGAATATAGCCAAAATCAGAGCCCATTTCATATTCCCTATCTCACACTGATAAAAATTTAAAAGTCTATATCAATGGGCCGGCCCCACGGCTTAGCGGTTAAGTGCACGCGCTCTGCTGCTGGCGGCCTGGGTTCGGATCCCAGGCGCACACCGACGTACCGCTTCTCCAGCCATGCTGAAGCCGCGTCCCACATACAGCAACTAGAAGGATGTGCAACTATGATATACAACTATCTACTGGGGCTTTGGGGGAAAATAAATAAATAAAATTAAAAAAAATAAAAGTCTATATCAAGCATTGGCAAAGATATGAAGCAACCAGAACACATATCCACTCTTGGAGAGTAAATTGGTACAAACGCTTTGGAAAACTATTTGGCTTATCTACTAAAGATGTGCAAACTCTTAGGCCCAGGAATTCCACTTGTATTGTGTACACCAGAGAAACTCATGCATATGGGTACAAAGAAGGTTCAAAGCACTGTAGTAGCAAAAAACTAGAGGCTGTCCAAATGCCAACAGCATTAGAGAAATCCCACTGTGACTCTACAGTCGAGTACTATATAGCAATGAAAAGGGATGGCTTGCAGTGACACATAGCAACAAGGAAGAATCTTAGGAACAAAATGTAAGGAAAACAAGTTATAGAAGAATACATACAACATGATTAAATCTTAAGGGATACAAATAAATGTAGTAAAACTATAAAGAAAAGCAAGAGAATGATAAGCACAAAATTCCAGAAATGGTTCCTTTGAAGGAGAAAAGGAATTGAATGGGGAGAAAACAACTCTGGCAGACTGGGGACTTCAGAACAGTAGAAATGTTCTTGCTCTATAATTGGGCATGTTTGTATCATTTTGTATACTTTACATTTATTTTATAATAATTTACATTTATTTTATAATTTGAATTTATGCAGTATTTAAAAGTTAATTACTTTTTAAATAAGTGCAAATTGCAAGATTTAGCATATGAATAAGAGGATAACATGATCTTGCAGACCAGCGAGAAAAGTATGCTTTTTTGGGAAAAAAGGTGAATCATGAGTTCTATCCCATTACTTTTAATTTTTTACGTAATGATTACATTTGATTACGTAATGATTAAGTAATGATTACTTTTAAATCATGACGTTTAATTATTTAAATTTCCTTTTGTTAAAGGTTTTTCTTGCTTTTTTTTTCCCCCCTTTTCTCTGCCCTGCTGCTCCTCGATGTATAGGAGAGATTTGAAGCGCTTTTCACCGCCTATGATGACCAAGTCACGTTCCAGCTGTTTAAAAGCTTTAGAAGAGTCAGAATAAACTTCAGCAGACCTGAGGCAGCAGCGAGGGCTCGCATAGAGCTCCACGAGACGGGCTTCAACGGCAGGAAGCTGAAGCTGTATTTCGCACAGGTACTTCTGGGGCAGAGGACGCTGCTCTCTAAACCTGTTCTTCCCCGTCCAAAAATATCACCACGTCTCCATTTCCTACGTATTATGTCAGAGGCCTTTGAAATGAACAATCCCAATCAGCAAGTAATGTAAAACTATTTTTTCTTTATTTGACAGATATATAAATTTATTTATTTCTTACGCAGATTTACCCTCCTAACTTTATCTTGCTTAGACTAATAGTTAAAGGACTTCATTTTTCTGGCAGCTTTCCTCAGCTGGGATTCCGTGAGGATTAAGCCCTAACCACCTTAAGATCAGTGAATTAGCTTTCCTCCTGTGCATCTGGAGTGGCACTGGTGGTGTAACATGCTTGGGAGAAGTGAGAAAATAGTCTCTGAAATCATTTCTGATTTCATTTCGGCCTACGGGATGACCGGGGAGGTGGCACAGCACTGTCAGAAAGGCCGTCTCCAACTCTGACACTGCAGAGGGTCCCGTGGGTTACCAAGAAGAGGCTGTGCTTACTGTTCTGCTCCTACATTGCTGTGACTCTCTGAGAAGCCGATTTCTTCTTGGAAGAATTGGTGAAATAAAGGCCTTAGATCTCACTGTTTTATTTTCAGCAAAGTTTTTCTTCTTGGTCTTAGCTTTCAAATTACAAAAAAAAAAAAGGTTTGTTGTCTCACATTCCAAATGAAAACCTAAATAAGAGATGTCTGGATATTTCTTGGTGGAGTTGATTGAGTTGGAAATGATATAACCTGATCTTTTCTAAAACTGAAATGTAGTGCTTCTTACCGTTCATTGTTCATCTGTTCATCGATTTATTTTTTTATTCAACTAATATTTATTGAGCACCGAATTCATGTGGGCTCTTTGCTGTGCACTGAGTGTTCAGTGGTGAACCAGAAAGACCCAGACCCAGGCACTGGGAGATGGAGACTATTAAAGAGAAATTTTTAATTTTCTCCAAAGAGATGTAACAGTTAAAGTAAAGATGAAAATGAAAAAATAGGCCAGTCACAAAGTTTGAGTCCCTCCTTCCCTGCAGGTACAGATGTCCAGTGAAACACAGGACAAGTCGTATTTACTACCACCCCAGCCGGCCAAGCAGTTCCTCATCTCCCCTCCAGCCTCCCCTCCTGTGGGGTGGAAGCAAGGCGAGGATGCGATGCCTGTTATAAATTACGATTTACTCTGTGCTGTTTCCAAGTTGGGACCAGGTAACAAACTTTTCTGTCTTTCCTATTGTTTCCACAAGAAACTTATATTAAAGACCATATTCAGTGATTTGTGTTCTAGCCAACTAGTGGCAACGTGAGCAGAGTGGAGGATAGCGTCACACAAACCCGGGTTCAAATTCTAGCATTTGCTAACTTTGTGATCTTGAGCAAGTTACTTAGCTTCAATTTTCTGAGCCTCTGTTTTCCCATTTATAAAATGAGGATCATAATAGCTACCTTTCATTGTGGTTATAAGGGTTAAATGTTATGTACGTAATACTCAATAGATGTAACTACAGTTTTTACTACTACAAGTTCTCCTGGTCCATAACAGGTGATTAGTGAATATTAGTTGCCTTCTCCCCGACCCGTTTGAGGTAACAGACCGACAACCTCTACATTGAATAGTATTTCAAAGAATTGGTGGTGATACCGTATCATCCCTTCCAAATTCTTCTCGCGTATTTATTTTTCATTTCTTTTCTTTCTCTTTAATTTCTCTAACTCTGTCATCCCTTTAAAATAATGTAAGAAATCAGGGCCATTGCTGGTTCAGACTAGTTGTCCATCTAAGATGATGTCATGTATCTTGTAGGGGATACAAGAGGTGTTTTGAGGGGAGTGGCTTGGTGGTGTTATTAGACATCAGAGCTGTGTCACGGATGTCTGGGGTCCTATAATAAAGTGATTGCCAGTGCTGCCTGGAGCGTTACAAGTGTCTCTCCAGGGAAAACTGAAACCGTTCTGAAGTTAAACAGGTTCACTTCTATTGTTCACAGAACAGAAATTATCATTTACATCTTAACTCCCAAGACCTCAGGACTCCAGAGCAGCTAATTTCTTGAAATGGTAAAACTTTATAAGAACCTTCAAGTATCAAAGCTCTGGTGCCAAAACAAGGTTAAGTACTCCAACATAGGATTTAAAGGAGTGAAAACCAATAATCAGCGATTAAAATAGGAGCAGAACAAGAAGTTTCAAGAGACAAAACTCTCTTTTTTGCTGTTTCCGTCCGCAGGAGAGAAATATGAACTTCATGCAGGAACCGAGTCGACACCAAGCGTGGTGGTTCATGTCTGTGAAAGTGAGACTGAAGAGGAAGAAGAAACGAAAAACCCCAAACAGAAAATTACCCAGACACGGCGCCCCGACCCTCCGACCACAGCACTGAGCGAGCCCCAGACCTTCGACTGCGCGCTGTGAGGCCTGTGGTTGTGGCGCAGGCAGCTGCCTGCCTCGTGGGCTTCAGCGGCGGAGACCATGCCCCTGCTGCTGATGCGTCGCTGCTAAGAGTGTAGGTGAGGCCAGGAGTGATGAAGGGGCAGTGTGTTTTCACCAAGCCTGCGCTGTGGACAGGGTTGCATAGAGTAGCAGCTGATCTTACCTGTTCAGAATTTTAACTGAGATTCTAAACAGCACTTTAAATTAAAGCGTTATCCCCCAAGATGTGGCAACTCCTGACCATTTTTAAACGGTAGCAAATTAGGAAAATGGCTCCCTCCAGCAATGTTAATTTCCCTGATTCCGTCTAGCATGGGGGCCCCAAAAACTAAAACTGTAGTCACCGAGTGCAGTACCATTTTTATGAATTTAAAAATAGTCTTACAGTTTTAATAATTTAGTGTGGGTATTTTTGTACTGGTGTAATAGCTTCTGACTAATCTCTTGATCAAAGGTTGATTGTTCTCCAGTATACATGAAATTTTTTGCACGAAAAGAAATCCGAAATATAGAATAATTCATAGAAAATCATTTTTCTCAAGTATTTTTTTCTTTAGCCTTGGGGAAGAAATGCCAAATTCACTTCAACTATCAGGATCAAGTGGCACAAATCTATGCGCATGTCGTTCTCTTCCCTGTTACTCTTACTCGGAAATTGGAGGAAAGTGATGCAGACCATTGTCCCTCCCAGAGAAGGAACTGCTACCTGGGAAGCAGGACATGTCACCAGTAAGCTTGACTGATCATGACCTCAGGTGGCTACCGCAATCTGCCATTTGTGACCATGTTCTAGCCTAGAGCATACCAAACTGTCTTCGGCCACCAGTTGAGTTTTCTACACTATACATAACTGTGTGTGTCATTTAGAGACTTTGAATTAGGAAAGGTAATGATAAGGTTTTCTGAAGACCATTTTAAGAATTTTTTTTTTTTTTTTGGTGAGGAATATCAGCCCTGAGCTAACATCCATGCTAATCCTCCTCTTCTTGCTGAGGAAGACCGGCTCCGAGCCAACATCTATTGCCAATCCTCCCCCTTTTTTTTTTTTCCCCAAAGCCCCAGTAGATAGCCGTATGTCACAGTTGCACATCCCTCCAGCTGCTGCATGTGGGACGTGGCCTCAGCATGGCCAGAGAAGCGGTGTGTCGGTGCACGCCCGGATCCAAACCCGGGCTGCCAGCAGCGGAGCACGCGCGCTTAACCGCTAAGCCACGGGGCCAGCCCCTCTGAAGACCATTTTAAAATTGTCCATTTAAACATTTTTCAGCTTGCTTTGAAAGAAAAGTCACACATACTCTATTTCTATGAAGTAGGGAAAGACAGGTGAGATCATTTAGTTAGTCAAGACTTGCTTTTTGGTGAAATTTTTTTACCCTGCCTTACAATTGGCATTTTTCCTTAAAACAGAAGTGTTTCTCACTTATGTTTCAGAGCATGTATTTGAACCTCCTAAAGTAGAAGCAAGCATCTTTCTAACTCTTTATGGTCTATTCAGACTTTGAAGTCCTTTTTATGGAAGAGTCTCGTAGCTGCGAATACATCGCTCTTGGTCAGGTGGCTCTGCTGATTCTCTACTCCCTCTGCTGTTTCCTTTGTCTGGCAGATGTCTGGGGCCCCCTGGTACATACTTGAAGGGGTTGCACATGAGTTTGGACTAATAAACCAATGTGGCTGCCACTACAAAGAAAGAAAAATGCAGAAATTCAGGCCATGATGCCTGTACATTTTTGGTAACGTGTTATTGTGGTTTAGATGTTCTTATTATGGTAGAATTTATTTCTGAGGACTTAAACTATATTGCAAAAGAAAAGTTTTCTATATTCTCCTTGCCCTCAAATACTCTGAGGTGATAAATTCTTCTATTTGTATATATCTACCACTGCTAAGCCTCAATGTAAATTCAGTTGAAATTTGTGATTCCATAAGCAATTTATTGAATTCAGATCATCATTTGGCATTTAACTGACAGCCACTTAGTAAATTTACTTTGCAGTTCTAAATTCACATTTTGCCAGTTTTTAATCTTACCTGGTTGCACTAACTTATCATTGCAGAATGGACCCTGTAAGTCAGGAAATGTATGCATTTTCAACAGTGGGAATTTTTGAATTTCCTTTTAGGTAATATTTATTCACTATAATCTTCTAAGTGATCAAAATCCATGATGTTTTATTATTTGGCTTAGCTTTCATTTTCTGCATTCCAATTAAAGAATATTCTATCCCTAACATAAAACTTTTTTTAAAGTCAAGCAATACAAATTACCCAAATTTTTCTTTTTCTCTGTTCTTTTTTTTGAGAGTATTGAATACATTGAAGAAAAATTTAAACCAACATTAAATATATATATTAAATTATATACATATATATACATACACACACGTATATATATGTGTGTGTATGTATATATAACTTTTCTGAATGGAGAGCATTACTATTTTCATTCTTTCTAGTATAATATTTCCATAAGGTGAACTCTAAAAGAAAAACTACTAAATGCCTATTAACTTTTTAATATTGTGAAGTCAACCAGGATCTTAACAGGTATTATGATCTGTCCTTTTTGGCTATTTTATATCCAGTTCATGTAACCATCTTGCAAGAGATGAGTGTTTTGTATCTTTTTTTTTTTTAATTTGTTTTAATAAGTTTATATTTTTTCTTCTTTGGAATTATGTTATTACTTAGATTTAACTCTGATAGTATAGTAGCCGGTTTTCTTTAGAAATCATAACCTCTTCTTGGGAATCAAATTATTTAGAAAATTGAGAGGAAAGAAAATGGTGCTTTGTGGTAGGAAAAAACATTTGTGAAAAATAAGAAAACCATAACACTTAGTAAGGATAGTCGACAGACCCTATGAGGCATTGGCTCTTATGTTCTAGGTTCTTTCACCTGGTGAAACCAGAAATAAATCCATTTAAAAAGTGTACTAATGTGAGCATCTCCTAGTTTAAGGTGCTAAGAGGCAGAAATGGTAACAGTTCCCTTGCCTTGGAGAGCTGAAGACTAGGTGGAGAGCAAACTAGTCTTTTCACATTCTGCTTCCTCAAAGTTTTATATACTAGGGGCCGGCCCGGTGGCGTAGTGGTTAAGTTCGCACATTCCGCTTCTGGTGGCCTGGGGTTCGCAGGTTCAGATCCCAGGTGCGGACCTATGCACTGCTTATCAAGCCATGCTGTGGCAGGCATCCCACATAAAGTAGAGGAAGATGGGCACGGACGTTAGCCCAGGGCCAATCTTCCTCAGCAAAAAAGAGGAGGACTGGCAACATGTGTTTGCGGCTCAGGGCTAATCTTCCTCACACACAGACACAAAATTTTATATCAGTATCGGTATCAGTAATTAAGAGCCAAGTAGAAGCTAACAGGAACTTTAAGTTCAACATAAAGGTTTAACTAGAACGTTGTGGGTTATGGGACGTTTGAATCAGAGATACCAGGAGCTAGAGGTCAGGCACAGCACTTTTCATTCTTTTAGAAAACAGTTGTTTTTGGTTCCCATTCACATTAATTTCATCTTTTAAAAATGTTGTGATAAGAAGTGAAAAGATTAGATTTTCTCAGAATCTCAATTACAGAGGTGAAGGCGACTTTGGAAATCATACAGTGTCTAATCCTTGTGTTACTCAGATTAGAAAACTTCGGCAGTGTGACTTGTTTCGAAGCCACAGAAAGGCAGCCAGGGACTAGAATGGGCATTCCCAACTCCCAGGCTGGTGCTTTTTCTACTTTTTCTTGCATTGGCTTCTTAAAGACAGTCAGAAGCAGTGAATCCCTGTCATAAGGAAGTAAACAAAAAAGAAGGAAAAAACTGTTTTCCCCTGATGGGGATACAATGAATAAGAAAAATCTTATCTGATGAAGGCAGTGCTTTAGTAATTTGAATGAATGAATTTGATGTTCCATGTTTTGTGTTTTTGTTACCATTGTACCACTGGGATTGGAATCTACTTAAATACTGATATCTTGGTAGCCAGCAATTACACTGACACTTTATATGGGCTTTCCTAGATTTTAATAGTAATGAGAATAAAATATAAACCGTCATCCTGAGCTGTGATTTTAATGACGCAGCATGAGATCTAATACATTTGGAAATAATTTGCAGAGGAATGACCCTCTCACTGAGTGCTTGTAAAATGGAGTTCTGTTTAAGATTGAAGACTGCCCTGTGCTTCGTATTTTTGTATAGACTCTTTTATAGACTGTGGCTTTATTGTTAAAAGGGAAAATCTCAAACATAATTAAGCAATGGAAGATGTACGAGATTCTTTGGTGCATCAGGTTCGCTGTGTGCAGGGTATCTCCGTTTTCTCCAGAGTTGTGTACTCCATGCCTGTTGTACAGGAGAACTCAGTCCATCTTTCCTTTTCCCTCTCATGTGCTCCTTTTCTGCACATTTGCGTTTACATCTTCCTGTACGAAAGAAAACAAATTACTTATAATAAGTGTGACAACATAGTGGAACAAAAGATGTGGGGGAATAGCCGCCTCCCAGCTGGGGAGGTAAGTCCATGTTGTAGAAGCTCACCTTTTAGAAAGGTAAATAGATTTGTGAACCTTGCCCAACAATTTGATAAATAGTCATTTGCTTTTTAAACTCCCCTTGGAGTGTGGGTCAGCCAGAACATCTTCAGTAGAATGCCACTGTTTTCTTTAATCATGAATCGGGGGGAGATGTTAATAATTTGGAGAGTGTAGTTATTATTACCAAATATACAAGCAACAAAGCCATTGAAAATTGCAACAACTGCTAGTTTCCCTGACCAAAAAGATTGTAATAAAAATGGTCGTGTTCAAAATAGACGAACTTTGGGCTGGAGTCAAAGTGTCTCTGCCCATTTAAACAAAAGTTTAAAGGCCTTTTACCAAATCAGACATGTGGTCTATCTTGCACATCTGCATTTCTTTTTGAAACCAAATCATGTCCTGCAAACCCTTGGAACTCCTGCATCGCTTTGACCGAATGTTCGTTCTTGTCATAAGGGAAGATTTACATCTATGCAGATAATATGTGTTTTTCTGTATTGTCTTCTATTTGGTCCCCAGTCTTCCTGACTCAA